TTGAATTACTTTTTCAGGCTTGAAAGTGAATTGGTCGATAATTTAAGACTTTAACAAAGTAGAGGTTTGTGAAACTCTCTCTCTACTTCTCTCTATACAACTATAAATGACAAGAATGCTAAACAACAGCCACATCTGATGCCCACGCAGCAACCAACACGAAAGTCCCAAGTTCGAGCCCGCGCCCGCACAATTAACAATACCGCCAAATGAAGTGTTCCACCGAATTCATCGCAACAAACATATATAATATTTTCTTTCTCTAAAACTATCTACTATCTCATCCCCCCTACCCCCCCCCCCTCCGTAATACGTCTGTGTGTGTGGAAAAATTCGTACTTGCTACCCTTATAGGGCCACCCCCTCCCCCCCGCCGCTTTCACGGTTCTAATTTTTGGGGAATTTGGGGCATATTCGTAAATATGAAATGGAAAAAATATTTCGCATGTACACGTAATTTGAACTTTATCGAGGAACTGTTAAGGTTGAATTTCCTGTGTTGGTGAGTTGGAAAAAAAATTACTTCATATGTCGTCCTTAAGACGGAGCGCGCCGCGCTTCGTATGTGTGTTGCGAACATAGGAACTGTGGAGACGCTCTTAATTATTGACACATAGCTTTATACGTGAATAAATTTACTTCCTATAGTAATTTTACAGCCTCCATCATTTCCTTGTTTGACAATAGTCCACTCTCTGGTTCTGATGATGAATAAAAGGGTCATACACTTTATGCGGAAGTGCAACATCGCTTCTCACACTCTACCAGGCCAAACTTATGCCCGGAAGAGTCAATTAGTCAAAACGTAGGCTGAAAGGACTAAGGATCACGTGTGTTTCAGTGACATTAAAAGACAAAATGTGTTACTGAACCCTTTGAGTACCGTCATTATAGACACAATTAAAGAACAATAGGTTGCGATCACCGGTGTTTGACAGTTCAAATAGTGTTACCATAATAGATACAAGATAAAGTCATGCACAATTGCCAATATCTTTAAAAAAATTGCGTTTTTTCGCTTAAAATTCGAAACATCGTAACATACATCAAATATTTAAAACTTTCTCATCTATTTTTCATAAAAAAAGATTTCACAATAACTCGTAGGTCGTAGGTACGATTGTCTGTAAGTACACATTTGCGCAATTCATTTACATTTCACCTTAATTTGATAAGACTTATCACTAGCATATTATATTTAGTGGGAAGCAAGTTTTCCTTATATCAATGCAACCATTTGTCCATGTAAAGATTATACAGTAATCAACAACAATGCATGAAATTACATTATTATGTATGGAGTTATTTTTATATATGGAGTTATTTATAAATACTTATGATCTCAGATAATGTTTAGAATGCATTAAAACTGTAAATCAAGATTACGTAGGTACTTATAACAGAGCTAGTAGACATGTTCTGTGAAGACTACGTTTAGGCAAGCGTGATGTAGGGCACCCTCCAGCTAGGTGGAGTGACGATATCTGCAAGGTGGCAATTGGATGCGTAGAGCTGAAGATCGAGCTCAATGGCGTGCTATTGGAGAGCATATGTCCAGCGGTGGACGAACACAGGCTGATGATGATGATGCAGATAACAGAGCTTATGAATGAAGGCAAAAAGGTATGAATTAAATATTCATATTTTGTTATTTCATTGAACTCTGCCTTCCCTATAAAGGTAGACAGTATGTATGCAATTATATGGAACGAGAAACCCGCAGCTGACTACTTCATGGGTTGCCGGGGCTCCGACTCGAAGGACAGGAGTAGGAACGGGGTGGTGTTTAGTCAGTAAGAGTCTGACACTATGCCGAATGTCGCCTCACCACCCAAGATGAGAGAAGTCATCGGATGATTTAAATAAAACGGAACAAGAAACAATATTTAGACTATCATAAATTAATTAATTTCGATATTTAATTTATCATATTACTTAATTACATACAGATGTTGCTGTTTTACTTATTTTATTTACTTTCATTATTTCTCATTTTGTGTTAAATGGTACATTTGCATATTCGTTTCGTGATATTATCATCACAGCTGATACGAAAGCTGCTTGCTAGATAGAAGCTAGATGGCGAATGGATATGTTTAAAAATATTCATTACCATTTGAAATCACTAAAAAGAAGTGCTAAAAAAGAAGATTTTACTGACATCTAACACCGATGATCATATATCACGTCAAAGTATAACCTTAATATTAAATTAAAAACTAAACAAAAAAAAATAATCAACAAAAGTTCGCAATCGTCTCCACAACATTCATATTCCATCACCGCGCAATATATATAGCTCAGCCCGTAGCTATACGAACAAATATATTATATTTTGCTATATGTTAGTTCCATCATTTATACTTTATTACTATATACATACACTATTTATATATAACAAAGTATTGTGTGTGTGTGCGTGCCTACGTACAATAGGGGGAAACTCAATTAAACATTTTCCCTTTAATAAGAATCCGCCAGATTTGCTATCGTTATTATATTTTTTCTTAGAGATGCAAGCTTTTTGGAATTGTCAGCGAAACAAGTACTTTTGTATGTAGTGTCATAAAGTTGTTGTTTATTGGTATATATATATTATTATATGTACTTCCTGGTACTCTTTCGAGTGGTGCTTCAAGATATTTCCTTTATTGTGACTTGTTATAATGAATATTATGCTATTCCAAATGAAAAGTTTTTAATAGTACACGCCTCGGAAGACAGGTGTCAACAAAGATTTATCTGAAATCCTACAGAATGATTTTCCTCCATTGAAAATGTAAAATTAATATCTAATTAAAACCGAGACTGTGTTAGTACTATTGGGTTCTAACAGAAGCCATCAGACCACCGCAGATGGGGCCCAGCAAGGCTCACTACGGAGCCGCGGAAGACCTAAAGGTTACCGGAGCTCCCATTCGAAGCGCAGGAGAAGGAACGGGGTGGTTTTTAGTCAGTAAGAGTCTGACACTCCCTCTCGCCTCATACAGGAGAAGTCATTCGATGATTTAAGACTAATGGCTATTTTTATCAACCACCCCTAAACCATCTTTTTTAACTAAAAGTACCACGTGTTACGTGACATAGCACCACTAACCCTTTACATGCACTGTTAGGCGTCACTTATAGGTTGGTGAAACCAAAATGCCGTTAAATGTCATCTATCTTAGTTTAAGGCTTCCTTAAAATTTAGGAGAGGATGGTGAACAATCCAAAGTCAAAGTCAAAATCATTTATTTTCAATTACACCTGGACGGCAGTTTTGAACGTCAAACAAAAAAATTGTATGTGTCAGTTTGTCGGTCATTCCTCGGTGAAGCTATTAGCGCATTCCAAGATGTAGATTCCTATGGCGAAGGGGCTAAAGAGATATCCATCATAAAAAGCCAAAGGTCTACCTCTACGATCGATTAGAAACTAAGTATTGAAATAATCAAGTCTGTGAAGCAAAACACAACAAAATTTAAATGACGAAAACTCTAAATATCTACTCATACATCTAAAAACAAAAATGAAAAAGTAATCATCGCAATAATCGAACTAACTACCTATCGACTGCAATTCCAATATGAAGCTCAACTTACGTCGATTTCTTACGACAGACACGTCACTCACTTCACAATACAATAGCCATGAATATCCCCAACGGAACTCGAACCCGGGCCCCCTAGCTTAGGGGTAACCAAGTAGGTATGTTTGTTGATTAAAGCAGCTTGATTACTGCCTACCCCACGTCCAGACGCAATGCTACAGGCTTCATATTTGGAGAAAAGAACAGTTACTTATTACTACTACTTATTTGCTTTACATAGTTTTAACTTTTAACAGTCCATTTTGTGTTTATTTAGTTTAATTTACTATACAATTTAACACCCACTTTTCACTATTTATGTTTTGAGTCCCATATAATAGGGGGTGAGCCTGTTGCCATATACCGGGCACATTTCTAGACTCCGTGCTACTACTGAGGTTTTTAAAAACCCAGTACTACTTTGCACGACCCGGGAATCGAACCCGAGACCCCTTGCCCGGCAGTCGCACTTGCGACCACTCTGCCAACGAGGCGACGAGGTCTATTGACGATAGATTGTGTTAAATACTCTGACACACTTCTCAGAAAGAGATTAATATAAGTAAGTCGAAATATAGATATTGCTTTTTTGTATATTTTCGACTGCACGGTTGGCGCGGTGGCTAGGCAACTGGCTGCCGCGTAACCTGTCGCGGGTTCTATTCCCGCACGGAACAATTCTTTGAGTGATCCACAGATTGTTGTTCCGGGTCTGGGTGCCATGTGTGAACTTGTATGTTTGTAAACGCACCCACGACACAGGAGAAAATACTAGTGTGACAACGTTTTTTAAAAAAAATAGTGTCTTGGTTGTGGTACGAGTGCTGGAGGCCTATAACTTACTCTGTAATCGAAATTATACCTCCAAATTACATAATATGATCTGTGTCATTTTGGCACTGGAGTCAAATTCGATTTTCAATTCAGTTGCTATTTTTCATCCCATAATGTTCTTATGCCATCTATCGTATTTCATAAATACTATTGACTCGACGAGTTTTCCAGCTTTTTATTAGTGTTGATACGAGATGACGCTAGTTAGACACTGAATTGATGTCCTACTGATCAGTTAGTTTGAGGTATGAAAGATAGATGTCGTGGTACGCATTTATTTGTTTTCATCCTTCATAAAATTCTGTGTAACGGAATATTATTCCTTATTGTTATTTTCTAATATGTAACCAACCATAAAGATAAGTAAGTATTTACACTAAAACCAACTCAAAAACCTCAACTTCCAATAAAAGCATAGAACCTAGAACTTAAAAAGTTACCACCATTGTCAAATAGAAATCCAAGTTGACATCGTCACATAAATGGATTATAAACAATCACAAAATCATGAAAACCGTCGTGAACGGCGGTAAATTATACCTTCCTTGTTATAATGAAGCCAAAACCGTTCGATGCCAACATATTAACAACGTAAATGAACGTTAAGTCTAACTATGTTGAAGTCAAGCCACGCCGCCCTTGGATGGAATGTCCTCAGCTCCCAGATGACAGCGATAATGACCCAGGTCTGGCTTTCATCTACAATTTGGACCAACTGATTGTAACCGAACAAAGGGATGGCTTGCACGATATCATAGGTAACGAAGGCATCGCTTACACCATCTTTAATAGCGTCGGGCAGAAAGTGTTCCTAGCAGTGTTGAATAAGAAATTTAGAAATTTCAACATAAAAATTTTCAACAACTACGGCAACGAAGTTATTAATGTCGAAAAACCTTTTACTTGGTGGACAAACAAGGTGCTGGTGTGGGCTCCTCCTGGGAATTTTGTGGGGTCTGTACAGGAGCGGTCCAAATGTATATTAAACAAGTACACAGTTAGAAATCAAGTGGGGACGAAAATATTGAAAATACGGTCCGAAGGTTTTGGTCGGTACGTGTACAAGGTGTACCTGGTGAGTACCAGGTATGCTATCGGAGTGGTGAGGGAACAGAGTCCTGCGGGTTATATCCGCAAAACAAAGAACTTCGGCGTCTCGTTTCCCGCTGAAATGAACGTGTACGACAAGGCGGTGCTACTGGGAGCATGCTTTCTCATCGGCTTGTACAAATACTAAATGGCAACTGGCTTCAATATAGATTATCTTTTTTCTTTTTCAATAAATCACACAGAAACAACATTTTACAAATAATTGTGGTTATTTATTAGCCTTATTTCCTTATTTCTATATTTTGTTTAGGTATTTAGTTCTGTTTTATGTTGGATGTAATCGAATCAAGTGCCCCTACAACATACATGAAAGCAAAACTGTAGAAATACCGGTAAAAAGTGCATAAAACTACCTAGGTACTCACTATCTTCTTATATCCAAATTTTTGAACTTGAATGAGTTACATATTTGCTTTCTGTTACGGTAAAATTATAAGATTTTTTTACATGCATAAATAGTGGTGACCTTTAAGATGATATTAGAATGTCTGTCGCCACTACCACTGGCTTTTGGACCCAAAAGCCCAGAATAGGATATACATAAATGGGAGTTAATTAATGCATTTATGTGTATATTTGAGATACCTAACTGAATACTTTATTGTGTTTTGTGAAATTCTGAAAAAAATTATTTGCCAAAGTATGCAGTTTAACGCCTGATAAATTTAAATGAGCAACCTGCACATTAAAATTTTTGAGCTATCAATAAAACAACAGGTATAAAGTTTTAAAACAGAAATGTTTAATTGAAAACTTATAGTTATGAAATACTGAGTCAGTCTTATCACAATACGGAAACTTAATTAACACTTAGAAACTAATTATCTGAGTAACTGAATTCTACTTCTTGCGTTTTTTCTGAGGCGATTTCGCATTGGCTTCTTCCTCGGCGTTTCCATTGACCTCCTGTTCTTCCTCATCATGATGCTTTCTCCTCACCGGTCCGGTTTGGGTGATAGGAATAGCTCTCTCGTTCTTATTCTCAGATACTTTGGGAGCTACAACTGTCAGCACCCCGTCAGAAGACAGTCGGGACTCCACAGTCTCAGGGTTACAACCTTCTGGCAACGCGTACCGGCGCTTGAAGTGACGGGACACGAAGCCGTGTTCATCCTTTCTCTCTTCATGCTTGCCTTCAATCACCACATAGCCGTCTGACGTTTTGACAGAAATCTCCTCAGGATCAAAATGCTGAACGTCCAAATTCACCTGGAATTTATCCTTGTCAGACTTGATGGTAGATCCGACGTCTCTGGCAACCGCCGCTAAGTTTCTCCATGGACGAAGGTACTTGCGCACGGAGAGTACAGGCCGGTCCACAATATCAGTTAAAAAGTCCTCCGGACTGAGATCCAGACCGAACAACTGATCCCGAAGACGTCGTGGACGCAGGTCATCGAATAAGTATGGTAGAAGCGCCATTTCTCTTTCTTGATAACTGTATTCCACTTGTAAACTTGAAAAAGTAGTTAAAAATTTGATTCAAGTAAAGTTACTTGAAGCTTCGACTCGCGCTAACTTTTTACTCTCTTGCGATTAGTTCAATACTGTCGCCGGTAGAGGCGCGCATCGCTTTTATATTTCATGCAGACGGAACGCCGAAATTTCTGGTCCATTACAGTAGGTTCGAGAATGTTGTAACAGGGACATCTAGTAACAAGTAGTATACACTCGTAAACTTGCTGTGTCTGTTGTTGTTGTAGAAAAGTCTTCAACAGATGGCGTTCTTATTAAATAATATTTTCTTCATATTTATCTGAAATAATAACTTGTAAAAAATAGCAAGTCCTCTAACTTGCTTGATTATAGGCTATATTATTATTAAAATTACCTTGAACAATGTATTTTACATTCATTACAATTCATAAAAATAGGTCATTATGCTTATTTTCGCTACTCCGTACTAGAGGGCAGCACAGCAGACCCTGCTGTCTGCGATTCATTGGCAGGACTTTCCGGTTCCATAGAACTTTGTGGAACGACATAGAACAATCTAGGGGTAACATAACTTACCCATAATTATTAAGTACTTTATCTATTTAAGGAAATGTAACTATAAACTGCGCAAAATTGTATTTAATTGAGTGACAGAGTTGACTCACCCTGTATGCATAGTCATCATAAAGATGTAAGATGACAATGGAACAAAGAAAGTTTATTTAACTTATCAACAACAAAAGTAATTGATCGAATAAGTATAACGTAATACAGGAATTAAATTATTTTCTTTACACATTATTGATTTTACAACTAGAGTCATGTCATTGACCCCACCGGTCGTTCTTATCATTTACTATAATTTACACTTCCTACTTTCAATGTCAGAAACTACTAGATTTTCTAATGTGACATTGTTTTTATGAATAACAACTTATTCAAAGTTTTCCGGGCTACTATTTCATGTAAATTCCAACAAAAATGTAATTTTATATTCGTAAATAAATTAACCTAAAATTTACCACGTGTGAGTGTGAGAGAGTTGTACTCACGAGACTTCATATAGTAACGAGGTGCCTAGGTACTTATAGATAATGTGTTTTTTTTTAGCACGCGGCGAAATCGAGAGTTGCAACATTGTTAATAGGACTATTCCTGATCATTGTACCTAACTAATGACGCTGAATTGTTATAATTGAAACCTTTGTTTATTTACGGACTTCAAAGTACAATGAAACATTGCAGAATTTGATCGGTACCTACCTAGGTACATTGTAGTTTGTAGAACTGAATCGTATGAACGGAAGGTCCCTATCACTATCCGATTGTTTTTTTTTTATAGAATTTTACTCAAATTATTTTTTTTAGTAGATAATTATACTGTACTTAGATATGTACTAGTACCTATGAGCCTGCTTATTTCAAGTTGCTTATCACATTCCAGTATTAGTCATCTAAATTCAGCTTATAACTACAATGAAATCACGCCCTTGCGGCGCTTGGTAGAAACGTTCTAGAAAATGCCGCCAAAATATTGATTTTATGGGGGACCGCGCAGCCCCTCCGTCTGTTGCGTTGATGCAGACGTTGCATTTTGTACCTAGGTAACTGTTTACTTAGGTACAATTAATTTGTGGATGGTTGATAAATAGTTTTAATTGCAGGTACCTACTATCAGTAGGTAAATTAAATACCCCTTTTTATACCTAAGAAGAACCTTAAATACCCCTTTAAATACCCCTTTTTATACATTCAATGTAAAATAAATTCATGGATTAATAATGCCTGCATCAATGTCCATAATGCTATGAAATGTTCCAGCACTATTCTAATATGGCTTTCATTTTATTGTCTTTGTGACTGTAGGTACTGACTTAGCTTTCTGACATGAACTTATGCATTTCTTTATTAAAAATTAACCCTAAGTCTATCTGTTGACTCACGAGTAAAAAATAATGACTGATCAAAAAAACATTCTGATGCAAAAATAACCGCCAAACTTGTAATAATAAGCGACACGTGTTGGCTGAATATTGGAGATTACGATTAATCCTTTACAAAAAAAATATAATTGAATTACATCGAGTATTTATGCTTTAGTTACCAAATTACATTATACCTAAGTTTTGTCGGAGAAGTCACTAGAAAACTTATAGAAATGCATTACTTCCGGTGCCGGTTCGAAGCCGGCAAATCGCTTTTTCGAGAACATTTCAATCGTTACTTTCAAAACTAAATAAAAAAGGACAACAATGTGTTATTCTTATAAGAATTGAGGTGTTTTGATCTCCTAGACGGCATGGATTTGTAGTAAAATTAACAAAAATATTATACACCTGCAAAATACCATAGAAGTCATAATCAATACATTTTCTAGTACCAATGCTGCCAGCCTTCAACAATAAAACGTACGTTTAAAAGTATACTAAACTATTGTACTAATACAATATAATTATTCCAATCAATTAAATTATTATGACCAGCTTATACAAGATTGAGGGTATCACAAAGTGTGATCAAAAGAATTTAATTAAATTACTGTTACCTCAACTGATATATATATTTCACTCAACTCGTACGGAAAATAAAAGATATCTGTTAGTTAAGAGTTTTGACAGTCTTAACTTAAGACTATCAAAACCTTTAGACGTTGTGCAACATTCCCTTTAGAGTTATTCATAAATTTAAATGTGGTTTAATGTTTGTGATGGGTGTAATGTTACACATTGTTGTCGGTGTATTATTAAAGTTAGATGTATTTGAAAAAATGTTGTTCTACTTTTTAAAATAGGTACTAAAATACACAAAATCCACACGAACTTTTCATTCCACGCTAAAATTATGAGGACATACCGAGAACACAATCTTACAAACACATTTTAACTTTAAATATACAGATGTTCTGTCAAAACAGGTCAACTTTTTTATTTTGATGATCCTGAATTAGACGTAATGATATCCTGTAACTTAAGGACTTGTTAAAATTAAATATTAAACAAAGAATTTTGACTAAACATTCAAAAACATTTTTTGTACTTGTGTTCTTATTAAAAATATTTTCATTTACAAAATGTTTGTTTTCTTCAAAAATAATAACTTTAAGCAGAAAAAGTAATCATTTTCAACAAAAATGACTTTTGTAGAATTTTTAGATTTTTGTATTTATAGATTTTTGTAGATTTTCTGCATGCATCACCCAAGGGTCAGACTGGTAAAAAATACGTGCGGTATTAAGTCCACCCATGTGCTAGTTTGCATGTATAAAGATTTTTAAATAAATAAATAAATTGTACTAAAATATTTTTCTGGTATCCCTAAGTACTTCATTGAACTTGACATATATCTTATCCGGGATGCCAGCAGCGCTTACGACGTGCAAAAGTTGAACTATTCACCGGATACAGCTCGAACATTCTAGTAAGAATACGTAAAGTTATGAAAATGTTAATGTTCTCAATGAAACTTACGTGAAAATTGATGAATAAGTTATAATTTATAGGTAAGCTTCTTATTAAAGTACGTTTTAGTTCAACTTTCATACAAAAAAGTAGAGTTTTAACAAAAGTTGTAGACGATTCTCGAATGTTCTAGAACATTCCACAGAAAATCTATAACACTACGAAGACGCCATCTTCTGTCCAATAGCGACAACACAAAATCGGTCTTCGAGATTGTAAACATTTTGTTAATATGGGAAATCGTTTTTAATTTTTGTAACAATAATATATTATATCGAATCATATTTTATATTTTGTAATATTATTTTTTATTTTATAAATAGTATTTCAAAATGTAATTTTTATGTTTTATGATTGAATATTTTTTTATATCTTATGATAATAATTATTATGATAAGATATATATTTACGAAACACAAATTTCACCACAATTTTATAGATTTGATGTAATATTGAGCAAAATTAAATTGAAATACTATTTAATTCACGAACTTTGTTTCCGAAAAGAAATTCGTGTCGTTAAAATATTAACTGAATAAGGAATTTGCTTAATATTATGCTTTTTTCAGTTTGTCAGAAAGTTTGTCATGAAAAAGATAGACCTTTTATTTCTATTTGTTTATTAAAATGCGATATTACATTTTTTACTTCAATCATTTCATTTCTCCGTTAAACACTACCAACTGTTTCGAGTCTCTGACAATGAGCGCGTCAAATCTCGAAAATTCTACTCACTCCTAGATGGCGCCTCCGCATCGAGTCTATATAAACGATCTGACATGCCGGGAAGCGTCATTTAATTCAAGAAAGCTAAGTGAGAGATACGCTGCGATTCCACGCGATCTTATAACACGTGTATTTAAAACCGCGCTAGTCAAAGAGATTCCAATAAGTATTCTGTGCTTACTCTGTACGTTAATTTGAAGAACTTTTAATTAAATTAAGTGAATCAGTCAAAATGCCCGAAGAAATGCAGACCGATGTCGCCGAGGTGGAGACCTTCGCCTTCCAGGCGGAGATCGCCCAGCTTATGTCCCTGATTATCAACACATTCTACTCCAACAAAGAGATCTTCCTTCGTGAGTTGATTTCCAACTCTTCAGATGCCTTGGACAAGATCCGTTATGAGTCACTCACCGACCCATCGAAGCTGGACAGCGGCAAGGAGCTGTATATCAAGATCATTCCCAACAAGAGCGAAGGTACACTCACTATTATTGATACCGGTATTGGTATGACCAAGGCTGACCTCGTCAACAACCTTGGTACCATCGCTAAGTCAGGAACTAAGGCATTCATGGAGGCCCTGCAGGCAGGCGCTGACATTAGCATGATCGGTCAGTTCGGTGTGGGTTTCTACTCATGCTACCTGGTCGCTGACCGCGTGACAGTTCACTCTAAGCACAATGACGACGAGCAGTACATGTGGGAGTCGTCGGCGGGAGGCTCGTTCACGGTCCGCCCCGACCATGGCGAGCCCCTCGGACGCGGTACCAAGATCGTACTCCACATCAAGGAAGACCTCACTGAGTACCTTGAAGAGCACAAGATCAAGGAAATCGTGAAGAAACACTCACAGTTCATCGGTTACCCCATCAAACTCATGGTTGAGAAGGAACGCGAAAAGGAGCTCTCTGATGACGAGGCTGAGGAGGAGAAGAAAGAGGACGAGAAGGAAGATGACAAACCTAAGATCGAGGATGTGGGAGAGGACGACGAAGAAGACAAGAAGGATAAGAAGAAGAAGAAGACCATCAAGGAGAAGTACACAGAGGATGAGGAACTCAACAAGACCAAACCCATCTGGACCCGCAACGCTGATGACATCACACAGGAGGAGTATGGTGACTTCTACAAATCCCTCACCAACGACTGGGAGGACCACCTCGCTGTCAAACACTTCTCAGTTGAAGGTCAGTTGGAGTTCAGAGCTTTGTTGTTCGTACCCCGCCGTGCTCCCTTCGACTTGTTTGAGAACAAGAAGCGCAAGAACAACATCAAGTTGTACGTTCGCAGAGTGTTCATCATGGACAACTGCGAGGACCTTATCCCTGAGTACCTGAACTTCATCAAGGGTGTAGTCGACAGTGAGGACCTGCCCCTCAACATCTCTCGTGAAATGCTCCAACAGAACAAGATCCTGAAAGTAATTAGGAAGAACTTGGTTAAGAAATGCTTGGAACTGTTTGAAGAGTTGGCTGAAGACAAAGAGAACTACAAGAAGTATTACGAACAATTCAGCAAGAACCTGAAGCTTGGTATCCACGAGGACTCCCAGAACAGGTCAAAACTGGCTGACTTGCTCCGCTACCACACATCTGCCTCTGGTGATGAGGCATGCTCTCTCAAAGAGTATGTTTCACGCATGAAGGAAAACCAGAAACACATCTACTACATCACTGGTGAGAACCGTGACCAGGTTGCCAACTCATCATTTGTAGAGCGAGTCAAGAAGCGTGGTTATGAAGTTGTATACATGACCGAGCCCATTGATGAGTATGTAGTACAACAGATGAGGGAGTATGATGGTAAGACTCTAGTCTCAGTCACAAAGGAGGGTCTGGAACTCCCTGAAGACGAAGAAGAAAAGAAGAAGCGTGAGGAAGACAAGGTCAAGTTCGAGGGTCTCTGCAAGGTCATGAAGAACATCCTTGACAACAAAGTTGAGAAGGTTGTTGTCTCCAACCGTCTTGTTGAGTCACCATGCTGCATCGTCACTGCTCAGTATGGTTGGTCAGCCAACATGGAGCGTATCATGAAGGCTCAGGCTCTCCGTGACACATCCACCATGGGTTACATGGCAGCCAAGAAGCACCTTGAGATCAACCCTGACCATTCCATTGTCGAGACCCTGAGGCAGAAGGCCGAGGCTGACAAGAACGACAAGGCTGTGAAAGACCTCGTCATCTTGCTGTACGAGACTGCCCTGCTGTCGTCTGGATTCACCCTGGACGAGCCCCAGGTGCACGCCTCCCGCATCTACCGCATGATCAAGCTTGGTCTGGGCATCGATGAGGACGAGCCTATCCAGGTGGAGGAGTCCAGCGCCGGTGACGTGCCCCCACTAGAGGGCGACGCCGACGACGCGTCACGTATGGAGGAAGTGGATTAAAATCTCAGCTTTTAGCCATGTTGTAATGGTGTTTATGTGATTGTATCGCGAAGTTATTTTGTGCACTGGTGTACAGCCAAAGACTGATTTAGTTCAAATTCCATTATTCAAAATAAATGGTACCTTAACAAATTATTTCTTGGTTTTATTCTGTGTTCATTTAGATAGGTTCCCAAATACACATCTGAAAATGATTTAGGTACACATCTTTTTTACTCTTTTTATCTAGCATTTTGATTAAATATGAGTAACTTCAGTAACTTAAAAACATCAACTTGTACTTGTTTACACATCAACCACACCTTTTTTTTATAATAATAGTGAAATTAAATAATTAAAATCAGAACTTGATCAATTTCTATCTCTACTGTAAAGCTATGTACGGAACGAATTGTACATAAAGGCGCGGCTCCACCGCAGTGCACGCTGTGCACGGACACGCGGCGCATTTTAGCTGCGTGTATTCATTTGTTTGACAACGTGGGTCTACGTTTCCACTGAAGTACACGAATATGACCCACGACTATGTATAGCGTGGCACGGCGCACGGGTAGACCCACGCTGACAGCGTTGAGCTACGTACTACTGTCTGTCTAGCAAACTGTCTAGCAAAGTCAGTACCAATGCCATTCTATGAGTACCTCGATACGATATATACGAGAAACACGAAACGCGTCCGTTCCACAACGTGTGTGACTGAAAACTGCTCTGCGATAACCGAGCTGTACATAGTCGTGGGTCTTATTCGTGTACTCTAGTGGAAACGTAGACCCACGTTGACAGCGTTGAGCTATGTAACCGCCTATTCAAGCAAGCCACGCGTGTATCAATGACGTCAATTCATGCATAGCCTCTCCGTGGGTTGCAGTGGACACAACCACATACATTTTCTTACAAAGCGAAGCTTAATACACGTGCGTAGCCTCTCCGTACACCGCGGTGGGCCCGCGCCTTAACATGTACCTTCCTACTTTACTAAAGTAGGCAGAGCAGAGATCATGCACACAATATCGGTCTCAGAAGGTACCTACATAATAAACTAGGTATCTATTCTATTGATGAACCTATATGTACTCCTCTCTTACCTAGGCAGATTTTTTCTCATTGCGGACTTGGCTGACTAGATAGTACTACTATGTACACACTACTACATTATTACATAAGATGTAGTCTACTATCTACAAGTAGGTAGGTACCTAGTGTAGTTAGGACTAACTTGTATCTTAGGAACAGGCAATACAATTTAATTATACAGGTTACCTACCTACAGCTGTCTTGTTCCAATCCTTTCTGGGAGAAAAAAGTTCCTTCATTTCAGCCGGTCACCGTAATGAGACGACTGCAGACGGCTTGGAAATCACCGTGCCTAGTTAGATAATAAATTCGAGCACGCTGATAATGCCCGTTCCTTATGGACAGTTCAGAAGAACTAGGTAGGTACTTGAGGTTACGTACTATAAATAAGTACCTACCTAGTACGTACATCGAATGCTCTGGTAGGCATTATTCAATAATTGGTACCTCCACGCGGTTATACCCGCTCTGCTCGAGTCCTATTGATCGTAGCGTGATGTTCTATAGCCTATAACCTTCCTTGATAAATTGACTATCCAATACAGAATGAATTTTTCTAATCGGACCAGTACCTAGTTCATGAGATGAGCGCGTTCAAACAAAGTCCATCAGCTTTATATAATAGTAAGTATAGATTTCTAATCGTCTACTACGTGGAATGTTATCTTTGAATGACTGGTGCTTGTGATAAAAATATAAATGGGTAGGTATCTAAGTAGGTACTTAATAGTTAAGTGACGGGCGTGGACATGCAGCAGGATTGTAGGGGATCCCCCTACCCAAGTGCAGCGTTAGGGTAGGATCGTTCAGAAACTACATTCTAACAAATAACATCTATGTAATGGTGTTTTATTACCAATCTATGTATTTCTAACTCTTGTTTAAATTGATTCACGTCATTATTATATTTACGTACCTACGTCAAATACATAATTTTAACTAATTGTAGGATCTATTTTTAATCAGTTATTTTATGTAGAAGTAGTCCTCAAAATAGTAAGTTAATACTCAGTCATTTTATTTAAAGGTACATAGATGTTCACCTTTTGTCTAGCATTCAATTCAAGCTCATTGATGACTAGTACAGTTTTCTTAAAAGAACATTGACCTCAAGTGTTAGTACTGTTTATAGCCTCATAGCTAATTAGTGGCAATAAATAGACACGTATCGCCTACTTGGCTTTTCTCCCATTCGGTAAAAAATGAGTACAATAATATTTTACTTCATCTAAATATAGGTAAGTAGGTATCTAATGATGTTTCTTTGTTCTTTGTAAATAGGATTTTAGAAAATCATTGCTAATGTAGTGCTGAGGTTAGGATAATAGTAATTTATTTAATCTTAAATTGTCCTTGACACAGGGGACGGAGGATCGTACCATAATAAAATAACATAAATAATTCGACAGAACTGACTTTACTTTTTTAAAATGCCTTCTTTAAACCTACAAATCATCATACAAATACTAAATATCTTTGAACACAACGGGGCATAACTCTGATTGAGGGGATTTCCTAATATTTTATATGTTTTTGAAGAATTCACTATTCTCTCTATAGAGCTAGCGGTCGCTAGTTTTTGATCGAATGGTATAATGCAAGAGATTTCGCCCTTGTTCATCGATTGCTCATTCGGAGCCGAGTCATCCGCGACTTCAGAAGAGTAGGTCACCAGTCCCTCTGTGGAGCACCCGATCAAGAATTTAATGATATTCTTTATTCTGTATTGACTAAAAGCTACTTTTCGGGCGTCATCTATATCGTTCTTCTGTATAGAAATATCATTATTCTCCAACAAAATCGAAGTGGAAGGAGAACTGAGCATATTTGCTTTGAAAGGGTGTGGCATGTACAAGTTTATCTGGATCGGCGTCGGCCAGAGATCCAGGGTACTCCAGATATCACTGACGAAACTGACCCACGTCACAATTACGTTGGTCACGTCAAACTTGCTGATTCCGAACATCTTTCCTATCTCAAAATCCGGCTTACTTCTACGTAGCTTGATGAGAAGTATCAAGAATTGGTCTTCAATGGAAAGTTTGTTCACCTTTTTGGATTGGAACTTTATGTCGTGGGCCATGGGATGTAAAGTGGAGAGCAGGAAGGTGAACTGAGCACTGTTGTCCAGCCCTGTATAGAAGCTGACAGACTCGCCGTCGGATAGCAACTGTTCTGTAGCGAATATTCTCAGGCTGTAAGATGTTTGTGTCCCTCGGCTAAATTTGTTTAGTTCGTAATTTTTGGATTCGCGTAGAGGTTTAAATGTCGATGCTTTGTGGTAAGAGCAATCCTTTCTTCTCGGGGAATGTCGCTCGTGCCTATGCCAATTCTGTTTATCATGTTTATATATTGTCCCTATGTCACCATGGGCCTTGTAGTCGCGTCCCTTAATTTTAGCCATAAGATGATGACGTCTTATGAATTTCTCGCGTAATGTTTGGTTGCTTGAAGTCTTCCCAGTCCAAGGAAATATTGAAGGCACTGCTGACTTCTTCAGGAACCTGTGCTGGAGTCGTAATCCTGTAAACATCAAATGGAACCTAAAGTTTAATGTCCAAATTAAATAGAAGAGATAAGATCCTTTTTGATTTCAAAGCTATTATTGTAATAGTCCTTAACAATGCTCTAACAAAATGTTGCTAAGAGTTTTTATTTAAGAGCAGTATCAATCTAATATCAAGAATTATGGTTTTAGGGCATTCAGCGACTAACCAGTGTAATCGCTGATCTTAACATAGTCGGAATCCTGGAAATGATGGCGACATATCCTCGCCCCATTTTTAGGAACAAAATCAGTGCGATGAATTGCTTTAAGCCAACGTTTTCTTAGTGTAAGATTCTTTGGAAAACTATGGTTGGCAGTATTAGAACACGAGGGAACACTACAACGAGTCATTTTTATTGGAATTTAACAAACAAAAAAATATATACAACTGAAAATGACAAACAAAACAATAATTACAAAACACACATTACGATTTTAGAATTTGGCGAAATACAATATTTATAAAACCAAAGGTAATTTGACAAAGGATATTTTGACAAGGCTCTGAAAATTTTTATTATTTTTCACGAAAAATGGCATCCAACCAATATTAAACCTTCATGTTAACTGCCATCTATTGTCGAGTGGCTAAACTAAAAGTTTATAGCTATTTTTTAATAGATGGCGCTTTTCAGAATTATATTTGATACCAAATAAACACGCCACAGGAAACTGTAAGGTACAGCAATAATACGTGTACAGGCAAAACAATCACCATCAACTGGTGATTGTTTTGCCTGTACACTGTACAATAACAATAAGAAACCATTAAGTTCTGTGCCGAGTTCGGTAGGGAACGTGTAGGTTTTCTAGAATTTTCCAGTCGGTATGCGCAAAGTCTGCGCGAGGCTGGCTCTAAATCAATACACAGAACACTTGCATGTAGACTATACAGCTTCACATACTAGTTATAAGTATGTGTGTTAGCATACCCGTTTTAAATGGAAATCTGGTCTAGAATATTCTAATGGCGGGCGCGCCATATACACACATATAAAATTGAGCCTGCAGATTTATAATAGCAATGAAACATGAATAGAACGTTGGATACTATTTCCGAATATATCTTCAGTATCAGTAGTATACAGATCGTAGGTTCTAGGATAAATTATTATTTTAATTAATTAACCTCTTCTCTGTCGATATATGAGACATATGTCCGCGTTCCTATAGACAAGAGATTAAGTTCGATAGCTGTTCTATTTTTAGCGTAGTCAGTTTGTATGTGACTTCAAGCGGTCCAAGCTAACCTAATAAATTATAGAAATATTGTACCTAAGTTCTAAGTAGTAGGTACTTAATTGTAGCGTTTAGTTAGGTGTTATGCATAGATATAATTTAATATTTCTGTGGGTTTATGTAAGTAAGTTACTTTGCG